CGCTATTCATAATACGGGATGAGGGTTGTTATTCATAAAATTAAATAGGCCTAAGCAATATCCAAAATGCTCATAACACATGGAAATATTGGACGGAGGACACCCCCAAGGCGACACATGGCGCTGAATATTTGTCTTGTTTTTAAGTAGGTTTGAAATTTGTTATCCAATGTTATAAACATAATTGAGAATTTAAATCAATAACATTTGAATCATGAAACATCCTCAAGCTCACCGCTCCTCCCCCCACCCACCCCCCCCCCCCAACTCCCGCCGCCCCCAACACCCGCCGCCTTCGCCGTTTTGATGACGACTCGGACATTCAGGTAGCGGACCTTAATATTTTTTTTTTTTTTTTTTGGGGGGGGGGGGGGGCTGAGGTGGTTTCCTTATAATATATATGGTCTTGTCACCAAAGTAAATTTTCTTAAGTTTGACTATCAGTTGAGGGGAGGGGGGGGGGGGGTTCGCACAAGGGGGACAAATTACGATAGGATTATGTGTGTGTTATGTTTCCCTTTTTTGTCACCACTGGAGCGGGAGAAATATATTAGCTAGATTAGGGGGATGTATTTTTATATAATTATCAAAGCTTAAAAGAAAAAAGCTTAAAAGAAAATATAGGCGCCACTTGCATGGGGTCTATTTGCTATTCATAAGGACCGTTATTCATAACGTGTAAATTCCCGTACTTCCTGGTCCGCTATTCATAATGGCAAAATAGGGTCGCTATTCATAAAGAAACAAGGTTCGTTAATCATAAGGACCGCTATTCATAATATGAAATCAGGGTCGCTATTCATAATACGATGAGAGGGTCGCTATTCATAATACGAAATGAGGGTCGCTATTCATAATAGGAGAAGAGGTTCGCTATTCATAATAGGAGAAGAGGGTCGCTATTCATAATACGAAATGAGGGTCGCTATTCATAATTGGAGAAGAGGGTCGCTATTCATAATAGGAGAAGAGGGTCGCTATTCATAATACGAAATGAGGTTCGTTATTCATAATAGGAGAAGAGAGTCGCTATTCATAATACGAAATGAGGTTCGCTATTCATAATAGGAGAAGAGGGTCGCTATTCATAATAGGAGAAGAGAGTCGCTATTCATAATAGGAGAAGAGGGTCGCTATTCATAATACGAAATGGGGTTCGCTACTAATAATAGGAGAAGAGGGTCGCTATTCATAATACGATATGCGGGTCGCTATTCATAATACGAAATGAGGGTCGTTATTCATAATAGGAGTAGAGGGTCGCATTTCATAATACAAAATGAGGGTCGCTATTCATAATAAGAGGAGAGGTTCGCTATTCATAATGCGAAATGAGGTTCGCTATTCATAACACGAAAGAGGGTTGCTATTCATAATACGACTAGTGGTTCGCCATTCATGATGCAAAATGAGGGTCGCTATTCATAATACGAGAAGAGGGTCGCTATTCATAATAGGAAATGAGGTTCGCTATTCATAATAGAAGAGGGTCGCTATTCATAAAACGAAATGAGGGTCGCTATTCATAATATTAAATGAGGGTCGCGTTTCATAATACAAACTGAGGGTCGCTATTTATAATATGAGTAGAGGTTCGCTGTTCATAAGAGGAGTAGAGGTTCGCTGTTCATAATACGGAATGAGGGTCGCTATTCATAATAGGAAATGATGGTGGCTATTCATTATATAGAGTTAGGGTCGCTATTCCCTGCAGTATTTCCGTGGTACAAGTACATATTACTGACAATTCTCGTCGAATTAGTTCATAGATGGCGTAGACTGTTTGTGTTTCACGGGGGGGGGGGTGCGGTTGGGGTGTAGCAGTGTTGCCATCAAGGGGTTGATCTAACATGTCCCTTACCTTCAGCAAAGGATGGAAGCGACAAAAAGGGGGTTGTAGGCAGGGGCATCGCTAGACCTTTTTCAGTTTGAGGTTGGGGGGGGGGTGAAGATGCCACCGAATACCGACAAAAATAGCTACCAATTATATATTAACATATATATATATATATATATATGTTAATGCCAATGTCCCAATGTCTACAAATTTAACCCTATAAATCCGGGGCCAGGAGCTAAATTATTTTCAACCCCCCACCCCCCTTCCCGTGCGAAGCGCGGAAGCTTTGACGTTCCATTAAAATATTAGAGAAAGACGACGATTCGTTGTACCGTTCACTACTCTTAATCCGCTCGGTGTAAAAATGTTAGAGGAAAAAATGTCAGAGGTAAAAATGTCAGAGGAAAAATGTCAGAGGTAAAAACAAAATATATGAGTGCCGTCATAATATCTCAGCACTTTTATCACACAAAATGTCGAGACGTACAGCTACTGCATGGGCTAGTCTATTATATTCCTTTCTTCCATAATGCATTTAAAGATAAAGTTGAGTCTTATTTTCCGATTGCATTGTGAAAAAAACGGTGTGGAAGCAATCAGAAAAGGTTGATCATCTAGCATAAACTTGTAAGTATTGGTGTGTAGTGCAAGGTTTTGTAGTCATCAAAATGATAAAAACTTTGGCCCAGTCTTGGTAAAGTAACAAGCACTGTACACGGAAAGATATTGATATGGGACTAAACTGGGACTGGAGGGGAGGGGGGGGGGGGGGGGGGGGGAGGAAGGGGGGGAGGAGGGGGGAGGGGAGGTGAGCTTGAGGATGTTTCATGATTCAAATGTTATTGATTTAAATTCTCAATTATGCTTATAACATTGGATAACAAATTTCAAACCTACTTAAAAACAAGACAAATATTCAGGGCCATGTGTCGCCTTGGGGGTGTCCTCCTTCCAACATTTTTCCATTTGTTATGAGCATTTTGGATATTGCTTAGGCCTATTTCATTTTATGAATAACAACCCTCATCCCGTATTATGAATAGTGACCCTCTATATATATATATATATATATATATATATATTATGAATAGCGACCCTCGCTTCGTATTATGAATAGCGACCCTCTAATCCTATTATGAATAACGACCCTCATTTCATATTATGAATAGCGAACCTCTACTCCTAATATAAAAAAGCGAATCTCTACTCATATTATGAATAGCGACCATCTACTCTTATTATGAATAGCGACCCTCTACTCCTATTATGAATAACGAATCCCTACTCATATTATGAATAGCGACCATCCATTCCTATTATGAATAGCGACCCTCTACTCCTATTATGAATAGCGAACCTCATTTCATATTATGAATAGTGACCCTATTATGAATAGCGACCCTCATTTCGTATTATGAATAGCAACCCTCTACTCCTATTATGAATAACGAATCCCTACTCATGTTATGAATAGCGATCATCCACTCCTATTATGAATAGCGACCCTCTACTCCTATTATGAATAGCGAACCTCATTTCGTATTACGAATAGTGACCCTATTATGAATAGCGACCCTCATTTCGTATTATGAATAGCAACCCTCTACTCCTATTATGAATAGCTCTTCTCCTATTATGAATAGCGACCCTCTTCTCCTATTATGACTAGCGAACCTCATTTCGTATTATGCATAGCGACCCTCTTCTATTATGAATAGCGAACCTCATTTCGTATTATGAATAGCGACCCTCTTCTCCTATTATGAATAGCGAACCTCATTTCGTATTATGAATAGCGACCCTCTTCTCCTATTATGAATAGCGACCCTCTTCTCCTATTATGAATAGCGAACCTCATTTCGTATTATGAATAGCGACCCTCTTCTCCTATTATGAATAGCGAACCTCATTTCGTATTATGAATAGCGACCCTCTTCTCCTATTATGAATAGCGACCCTCTTGTCCTATTACGAATAGCGAACCTCTACTCCTATTATGAATAACGAATCCCTACTCATATTATGAATAGCGACCCTCTACTCCTATTATGAATAGCGAACCTCACTCATTTCATATTATGAATATTGACCCTATTATGAATAGCGACCCTCATTTCGTATTATGAATAGCAACCCTCTACTCCTATTATGAATAGCTCTTCTATTATGAATAGCGACCCTCTTCTCGTATTATGAATAGCGACCCTCATTTTGCGTTATGAATGGCGAACCACTAGTCGTATTATGAATAGCAACCCTCTTTCGTGTTATGAATAGCGAACCTCATTTCGCATTATGAATAGCGAACCTCTCCTCTTATTATGAATAGCGACCCTCATTTTGTATTATGAAATGCGACCCTCTACTCTTATTATGAATAGCGACCCTCCTTTCGTATTATGAATAGCGACCCGCATATCGTATTATGAATAGCGACCCTCTACTCCTATTATGAATAGCGACCCTTATGAATAACGACCCCGATTTTGCATTATGAATAGCGACCCTCTACTCGTATTATGAATACCGACCCTCTTCTCCGATTATGAATAGCGGTCCTTATGAATAATGAACCTTATGAATAATGACCCTTTTCTCCAATTATGAAAAGTGGTCCTTATGAATAGCGGTCCTTATGAATGACGGACCTTATGAATAGCGGACCTTATGAATAGCTGACCTTATGAATAGCGACATTGACCCTTTTAAACCATGGGTTAAATTTCAACTTCCTTTGTGAATTCGGGCCTATGGGTATGGGGTCTTTATGTTGGCTGAAGGGGTAATGTCTCTGTGATGTAGTGGCGGACAACTTTTCCTATTCGTTACAACACATAAAATTTCAATTTTTTACAAAAAAGTGTCCATTCTCTTTAGAAGTCCTATAATTTGAATAGTGCCCCAAGGAAGAAAGCACTTAGGAGAAACACATACATTAATGATATTCTTTTACTACGACAAACAAACATCACACTGCACTGACCAAATCGCCAATTTGAGATTCGCGCAGACTTAGTGATTCTCATATATAATTCCCTTATTATTGGTCCGATTTATTTAAAACTTTCACCATTCTGTTTCTCTTATTTTTCTGCTTTCATACAGATGAAAGTATAACAAGGGTTGGATTGCCCCTTCGGTGTTTTTAACCATGACTCACCAAGCCAGATTGAATACATCATTGATGAGGTTAGCTCTATCAGCAGCACTCAACACAGTGTGGTTGGTCCGGAGTTGATCTATTAATGCTCTCCAGGTCGATGTTTCGTAGTTCACACGGTACATCCCAGACTGCTTTGTGTTGACCTTGAACCATTTACTAGCACCTTCTACATGCAGATTCACACTTGCTATGGTTTGTAGGAAAACACAGAGAAATGTAAAAGATTTATCTTGCACTGTACAGTCCATAACAATACACGGGCGGGTATTATTCAAAGAAATATAAACAAACATGAGCCTGCATGTTCCGTGTAAGAGTGGGGGTGATGCAGATTTTTTTCTGCCCCTCAAAAAAATGTTTTTGCTCATTACGCCACTGCTCCCTCATCCCTCACATTCCGTCCCCCCCCCCCCCCCGGTCATGAAAAGAAATCACTGCCCCTGCTATTATGTAATGATCCAAAACACTTGAAATCATAAATTTGATAGACATACTGCTGTATACAGATTTGTTCACAACAGGATATATGAAGAGAAAATTATCTATTCTAAATTAAGTTTTATTTACCTTTCTCATGTTCCATAACGATAGTCTTGGTTTGAGGGTCAGTATCTGTGAAGTACGTGACAGGAACAGTCCACTTATACCTGTAAAAATAAAGAGTGTGGTGGGGAAAGTAACTGATAATTGCTTCAGTAGAGATGTACTCCATGTACCAGATGCATCACAATCAGAGTGCGTCTCATTGATCTAGAATTTTGATAATGTTCTTAGTTTAACATCCAGCAAATAAATATAATAACTGAATAACAAAGAACATATGAATGTAAAGGTATAATACAGAATATACAAACAATAACTTCATGTCAAAATGGTTTTTTAACATACCGGTATGTACATATAATAATGAAACTTAATATTTCTATAACATGTTGTTATCATTATTCAAGGATTCGTTTTCAGGATTCATCACATGGATTCTGTTCTGATATTTCTTGTGTGAAGGGTGTGTAAGCACCTTCTGACGATAAGACTCATTATCTACCTCATTAAATTTCAAGCATGTGTAACACCTTCAAAAGCATTATGAGTCTAAAAGACAATTGATGATTTTATTTATGATTTAACGATGATGGAATAAGGATGAATAACTTACCCAAACTTTGAAGAGGCCTCATTTGAAGGCTCTCCCTGAGGATAAATCAGAAACCTTTGTTGAGTAGCCAGGCCTGCCTGGGTGACATGGATGACTGGGAATCCCATCTGAAGTGTCCAGGTATCCATCATAGCAGTAACATCTACATTATGTCCATTCTCCTTAGCGACCTGATGATGTTTTAATCAAACAATGTTATATCACCTAAGTGGTTACTACTCTTGTTAAAGGTATAGACCAGTTCTGGTCATGCGATTGCATTGTGAAAGAAACGTTGTGGAGTCGATCAGAAAAGGTTGATCATCTAGCATATAAGTATTGGTGGGTACTGCAAGGTTCTGGATTCATCAAAATGATAAGAAATTGGTAAAGTTACAAGCACTGTACACAAAAAGATGTATATGGGACTACGCGATATCTATCCAGTCCGGATAGATATAATAATTTACCAAATATATCAATTTGTTGGCGGTTTCCCGGCAAATTTTGTATAATCACGTATTAGTCAAAACATATTCTTCCACATGATTGGTATAAGAGCTTCCATTTCATTTTTTGAGAGGGGGGCGTTTCCAAAACTGGTATTTACCTTTAAGACTAAATAGCCTAAAATGAATTCAACATGAAATGAAAGAAGTTATGCCAAAATGTTTCCCATGTGCTCTTTTAACTCATTGCACACTGGAATCGGGTTGTTCATGTATTGATCCTATGGGGGAAAATGACAATTCAGTAGTCAATGGGTTAACACATGGAGTACATAATTGTCTCATTCTCATATGCTTAAAGAGAAGGTCGAGTTCTGGGAAGAGGTGAAAAAAAAATTGTGAGCATTAATCATTCTTATAATATGCAAGTGTGGAAGAACATCAGTTAAGACATGTTCCCTGAAAAGCATGGCTCATCAAATGCCTTCATATTCTAAATATGCATGTAACATCGTAAACATCGGGGGGTCGGCTTTTTACGCCACGTGTTCGTGTAGCCCCATATACAGCTTTCTGTGCAAGTGTTTGTAACTTTACCAAGACTTGGCCAAATTTCTTATCATTTTGATGATTCCAGAACCTTGCAATACACACAAATTCTTATATGCTAGATGATCAACCTTTTCTGGTCGGTTCCGCACCGTTTCTTTCACAATGCAATCGCATGACCAGAACTCAACTTCATCTTTAATACACAGAATCTATTCATTTCATGTGGACTACCGTAAGTATTAGGTCAAAAGAATACTTAATTTGTCAAAATCTTTATGTTCTATATTTTCTTCTATAATCACAATGAATATATTTTCTTCTATAATCACAATGAATGTGTTGATGGTCAAAAGATGTGATGACCTACCCATCAGGATGAAAACAAACAAAGTATTACAGTCAGCGTGTTTCCACAAAAAACATCGACACGGTATTACCCGTGTAATCAGGCACGTAGCCAGGAAATTATAGGGGGCGCGTGCCCCCCCCCCCTATGGAAAGCCGTTGGTGACTTTATTCACGTGCCCCAGACGTATGGAACGCGGCACACGTCTGCTAAATTGACCAATCACCGCCTGTTATTTAGCAGGCGCGTGCAAGGTGCGAAAGCACACGCCTGTTACTTTGCCAGACGGATGCGCAGAACGCTCGTAAATTGAATTTTAAGGCAACCAATCAAGTCCGCTGTTACAAAGCTGCTCAGCTCAGTACGTACGGGGCCTGTTCGCTATTAGAAAACTGCTCATGTCAGTACTGGATGGGGGACACACCCACGGCCATACACGGATCCAGGGGGAGGGCCGAAGGGGTCTCCCCCTCACCCGCCAAAAAAGAGAGAGAGCTAGAGAGAGAAGGAACAGAAGGGAAGGGGAAAGAGGAGAGAAAGGAAAGAAAGAAGAGGAAAGAAAAGAGGGGAAAAAGAGGGGGGGGGGACAAAAAAAAAGAGAGTAGGAAGGGGAAAGGAAAGAGGAGAGCTAAAGGGAACAAAAAAAGGGAAAGAAAAAAAGAAACAGGTGAAAAGAAAGGGAGGGGGTCAGATGCAATTAATCCAGCCAACAACATGTGGTTCGGGTAGGGGGTGAAAGGCCTTTGCCTTTCGCCCAGCAAACTTTAAAAACAGAGAAGGAAGGGAAGGGGAAGGGAAAGAGATGAGAAAGGGAAAGAAAAAAAAAGAGGAAGAAGAAAAGTAGGGGAGATCAGTTGCGATTTTTCCCGCCATCAAGGTGTGGATCGGGGACATTAAAAGGCCCTTGTCTCCCCCTTCCCCCCTCAGCAAGAGAGAGAGAGAGAGAGAGAGAGAAAGAAGGGAGGGAGGGAATGGGAAAGAGGAGAGAAAGGGAAAGAAAATAAAGAGTAAGAGGAAAAGAAAAGGGGAAAAGATATGGTTTCGCGCTCATCTCGCCTCCCCCAAACGAGACCAAGCACCAGATACGCCACTAGACACCACTGGCGTAATAATTCGAAGGAGACAGCCTCCCCCTTAAGTGGTTTATTTCTAATTCGATTTCAGTGATTTACAAATGTTGTAAAATGACATAATTTTTTAGTAAATTATACTGTTTTATGAGTTTGTTGGAAAATGACGAATTCCGAAAGTTACAGTCACGCGAGAAATATGCTTATTTTGAGGTCTGCACGTCAAGGCTCGCGGAAAATAAATTGGTGTGGAGTCTAGGGGCGGAACCCCAGAAGCTCAGGGGCAATGGGCATTCATTACGTTTAATTGAGCATATTTTGATACCCTATTAATGACACGGGTAGGTCACGAATTGGCGTGGGGTCCAGGGGCTGAGCCCCAGGAAACTCAGGGGCTATCGGGGCATTCATTACGTTCAGATGAGCATATTTTGATACCCCGGAAACTCAGGGGTTTTTAGGCATTTTATAACGGTCAGATAAGCATTCAGGGGCACGCCTTAGGGCCCTTGGTGGGGTCAAGAGGGTGAAGCCTCCGAAATTTCATTTAATTACGGTCAGTTGATCATATTTTGAGACTTCATTATTTTGTGACACTGGCAGGTAACAATTTATTTTTCTTACTTTCTCCCTACCTCTCTGAATATACTTTTTCAAAATAGTTGGGGGGGGGGGGGACCCATGCCCCCGAGCCCCGCTGTGTCGCGAGCCTTGACATGTAGACCTCTAAATAAGCATACTTCTCGCCTGACTGTAACTTTGGGAATTCGTCATTTTCCAACAAAATCATAAAACAGTATAATTTACTAAAAGTTATGTCATTTCACAACATTTGTAAATCACTGAAATCGAATTAGAAATAAACCTCGTTTTATTCTTATTTGGGGGAGTACGCCAGTAGTGTCCAGTGGCGTATATGGCGCTTGGTCTCGCTTGGGGGGGGGGGGGGGGAGGAGCGCATCTTTCCCCCTTTTCTTTTCTTCTTCCTCTTTGTTTTATTTCACTTTCTCTCCTCTTTCCCTTCCCCGACCTTCCTTCTCTCTCTCCCTCTCTCTTTTTTTTTTTGCTGAGGGGGGAGGTGAGGCAAGGGCCTTTCGGCCCCGCGATCAACACGTCGTTGGCTGGATTAATTGCAAGTGATCTCCTCTCCTTTTCACCCTTTTCTTTTTCTTCTTTCTCTTTTTTCTGTCCCTTATAGCTTTCCTCTTTTCCTTTCCCTTCCTCCTCTCTTCCTTTTTTTGGGGCGATAGAGGGCTGGAGGGGAAGGCAAGGCCTTTTCCCCCTTCCCCGATCCCCTTCTTTTTAACTCTTTTCTTATCTTCTTTTTCTTCTTTCTTTCCTTTCTCTTCTCTTTCCCTTATTTTCCTTAATCTCTCTTTTGTGTTGGGGGGGGGGGGGAGGCCCCTCGCCCCTCCGACGCCTGGTAGCACACACTTTAGCAGTCATGCAGTCAGGTAAAACAAACACTTGCAAACTATTTTTTGTTTTAATCTGAGAATGTATATATTATCTAGATCTATTAAGAATAAATCATTGTCAAAATCATTCCATAAACTGGGGTAAATAGGCCACCTTTATAACCTACATCGTATTATTATAATTTGATTGCAAGGACCTCAGGGAGAACAGCATAAATACTGATGAGGCTTTCCTGGGTAAAGAAGACAGTATTATTATTTTATTTTTATTTTTTTAATTATTACACATATCTTAAACATTCAAATATTAAAAACAAACAAAGAACAGAAGTATAAAGTAGAAAAAAAATGATACAAAATGTACAAATGAAGATACTACCATCCACCCCCCCCCATCATCAGTTATTATTTCCAATCAGCGTTAAACAAACACGTAGAGTTATGTAAATATATATTTACGCGTACGTAATATATAAACACTATCAATTATTTCAAATATTATAGAACTCAAACAGTAAATCATATTGGGATTGCATTACCCCGTTGTACGCTACATGACGCGAAAACCTTCAAGGCCCGAGAGTGTCCAAGCTCCCTATCCCCCAACAAGACACAATTTTAAAGTGCCCCCCCCCCCCTCTCCGACAGTAACTAGGCTTGTAGTCCGGTCAGCTCCGTCTGGTATCCTGAGGTTTTGAGATTTCCAGTGTCATGGACAAACGAAAATCTTGAAAATTTTCATTGGCTAAAATTATTGTATAGTTTCTGGGTGCCTGGAGATGGTAGATCCATTAGTTCTAATAAAAGCTCCGTTCACATATGCCTTCCGGTCACAAAACCGTATCTTATTTAGCTAAAAATCTTGAAAATCTAAATTCCTTACTTATTTGGAAAATATATCGTGCAATATTGTATATTTACGAAAAGCTTGAATGTAGTATAACCTAAAGGGTAAATCCACTTTAAAATAATTCGCTTTCAATAGATGCAGAAAAACAAGAGGAGCAGAGCAAAAAAAATAAGGAAGTTATGATTTTTTTTTTTAATATGAAAAACTATGGAACAATAGAAATCACTACACAAATTGCCAATTTGGTTATCAGTTTGTGACGCCATTGCCTCACTATTTATCAATTGCTTTATATATTTTTATCCCATTAATTCCCCTCTTTATCCCCAAAACTTGATTTCCCCATGCCTTTGCCCAGGTTATATGATTTGTATCGTATTGCGGGCATGACATTTCACAATATCTTTTACAAACTTTGAAGAATTGAAACTATTTTCAGAATATTGTATATTCATAATTATTGACTTTTATATAAATAAATTTTCAGAATTCACATTTTTCATGATTT